TTTACATTGTCCGAGTACTACAGCAGGCAAGGCCCCTTGTCGCCGTGCTCCCCGGCGCCAACGGAAAACTACGGCGGACGAGAGGCGCGATTTTCGCAAGCACTTACTGAGTACAACTACGGCAGACAGGGGCTGTCATCTCCTGCGCCCACAGAGTATGTCTTCGACCGAGAGGCATGGTCACCAGCGTCCACGCAAGTCGGAGCTCCATTGCCCGAGCACGGCGGACAGGGCTTGGCAGGAGGTTTCAGCCCCAGATTCTCACCGGGAGTGCCAAGCAAGCCTGACGATTTGCTCCGCCAGCACAATGACTGTCCACCTGGGATGCCACCTCCGGATGACAGCACTGCCCACCGGAATTGGCCTCACTTCTTTCAGGACCGAAATGAAATCAGCGAGCACTGCCTTGAGCAGTGTTCATCTCAATGGTGCGGACTATTTACCAGCTGTTGCTAGGTCCCTCAAGTAGTTTTGAGCTCTGTATTGTGGGGTCTCCCTTGGAGCTATCAACAGGGAAGAACAGGTCAAAACAATCCCATAACAAGGGGACGCGGCGGAACCAAGGTTACCATGAGTCAGCACCAGAAACTTGCAGCCACTGCAAGCAGGCCCTGGGATCCTTTTTCGATCATTATTGCCCGAAGCTTGGTCAGCGTTAGGATGACAGGATCCTACTTGCTCATCGTGGTTTGGATTTTCCGATAGTTTAAGGGAGCCCATAAGCAGGTTCTGTGTTTTCCCTGTCCTTCCCAGCATAAACCAAGGAAGTGCTCCAGAGGCATTTGCAAGAACTGCCTGGAGAAAACGAGCGGCCACACTTTCCGCTGCTGCTGTGGTCATGAGCTGACGATCGATGGCACACTTTGGATGATCGGAGCATACAACTCCGTGCTGAACGCGTTGGATTTCATCACCGGCGCAAAGCCTGCCGGCGCGGAGGGCTACACTGCCATGCCCTCACAGAGCCAAGAGCATTATGTGCCCAACCCGCTACTGGAGCCTCCCTCGACCTCAAAAGCTGTATTGCCACAGCACCGGACGCTTTGTCCGGCTACTACAAAGGAGATGTTTCCTCCCATTGCACCTCTGCCGGCACCGCACCTCTTGGGCCATCGGCGTTGTGCCTCTCTGGTCGGTGACGTCTTCAAGACGTATCTGCCGGGAGAAATGTCCTGCAGCCCAACGGCCCGATGATGGGAAAGTGCTGGAGTGAAAAGGAGACACTTCTGTACGCGCTCCTGCATGCAGAGATGAGCTCTTGGGTCGATCCCACGTTGCAGTAATAATAAAAGTCCTGCCGAGGCCTTGGTCCCCGCCGCAGCCGCCGCTGACAACCCTGACGCAGAGCTGCGAGGCTGAGGGGTTTAGGGTTTCGGGATTGCAAAAAGGGTTTCGGTCGGGATGCTTTCATGACAAAGGGTCTGTTGTTTTGGTCTATGCGGTCTCGCTTTTAGGGTGTTCGAAGGGTGTAGAGCTTTAGGGCTGCATGGGTTTCGTTGTGAGCAATGAGGGCAAGGGTTGTGGCTTCTGAAGCCAGGCTGTCGAGGCGAGGGTGTCGCAAACGGTGTATAGGGCTTAGAGTTTAGGGTTTTAGCTAAAAGCTTCTATGATTTAGCCGCTTCTTTTGAAAGAGTCCTTATGCTCCGGGATCGAAGTACTCCTTGTGAGAGGACTTTGGGGCCTTGTTGGATGCCAAGAACCTTAGATAGGAACTGTTTACAAGTTTGCACCCTTAGGGCATTAGAGTAAGAATTCAGGGTCTAGGGTCCCGGGTTGAGGGTTTATTCGAACAGGCCTGGCCATGTTGGTGGTGCTGGCGGTGATAGTAATGAACTTGATGAACCCTAAACTTCGAGGGTGTTGAAAGGCTTTCCTCTTTGTTGCCAGGGGACGAGAACAAAACCCAACCGTTTCCGGGTTAGGGCTCAAGACTCAAGACCCGCGAACGGCTTTGAAGGGGGAGGGTTTCCAGGGTCAGCCAGGGCCAACCCAAAAGAATGCGTATGCCTACGCGGAACAAGTAGGATTTCGATTCTGCATCATGTGAGCGATTTAGGGGCTTCATTGCGGCTTCCTGCTTATTCCAAATATGTGCGCTGAAAGCCCTTTGAGCGTAGTTCTTTTACGCAGTGGGTGAAAGCTTCCTCTTTCTGCCACCACCGGCGTGGTGCTGACGCGAGAAAGGCCTAGCACAATTGCAGGTTCGGCCTGATCGATTGTGGAGTCTTATGCAGCCAAGGTTCTAGGATTTTGAGTTAGATTATAAGGCTTAAGACCTGCAGGTTCGGTTGTATTTTCCAAGGGGCTAAAACAAACCACCAGCCCGAAAGTAACCCTACGGGTCCAAAGTGCCCAAAAAAAAGGTCCTTAAGGCACTTGGGTTTCGGATAGTGGTAATGCAGGTCAGTATATATGGGGGGAATTTATTTATCATTACTTACTTGGTACTTGGACCCTCAGGACATTAGGACTAAATCCCCACTCCACTATACTCGACCCAACAGGACTTCGCGACACGTCGTAGAGTTAGGCTTCGTCCAGTCAGAGCGAAATCTTTAAGAGGGTCCTTTCACCAAGAAGGCAGGAAGCTGGGCAATAAAACGCTGCTTCAGACGGTACAAAGATACAAGGCACCCTAGCCCAATCTAGAAATGAAGCACAACACACCCTTAAAGTTAAACCCTATAAAGCCGCCCCCCCCCCCCCCTTCCCCGAAACCCGAACCCTGGAGCCGAACTGCTACGTTTGGCAAGTCCGAAATCCTCAAAC